AGCCAAAAAAAATTAAAAGGTCCCAAGTAACTTGCTCAACTTCACTTTGTCGTCATCAGCATCCTAAGGAAACAGCATTGCATACAATGGCATGATCAGCCCAATGGCATTCCCACCCACTGTCCCTTGGAGAACAGCGAGTCGTGCTGAAACTAAAACGAACCAGCCAAGCACTGCTTTAATGAGTGCGTGAGCTGGAGCTGTTCTGTGCCTTCCCCTCAGCAGCTGGGGGCCAGATTCTGTGTCTTAGAAGCTGAGCCCTTTCATTTTCATACTTTATCTTACATTTCACAAATAGTTTATGTCCTTCCATTTCATAACAGGTGCCAACAATTTTTTTTTTAATCTTGGTAAGCTCCAGACTTCTTGTCTCTGCTTTCCCCAGCTGGAGCTAGTGTTTCCTTTTCTCATCTCCCTAGTAGGCCAGGACAGCAATGATTTCGACATAGGAAATATCCCTTTCCATCATCTGGTTGGGTTTAGCGTTAATCCAGTCTCCCAGGCCTAAGACTTATTGCCCGTTTGCATGTGTTGAACACCAGGTCAAGACACTCCCCAAGTTTCACACACACACACACACACACACACACACACACACACACACACACACACACACCCGCCTTGATGCTGCCAGAGGACAGTGGGGCCTGGCCTCTCCTTCAGTGCTTTCTACCCCTTTTAGCCCACAAACTCTCTCTCTACCTCCATGTTTGGTTAGGGTCTATATCAGGAGTTCCCAAATTTATTGGCCTACATAAGGAAAAAAAAAAAGAAAGAATTATTCAGCACCCATGGACATCTACCTTCTTTAAGCAGACTAGAAGAAAAAAAAAAGTAGAAAGCACCTTCCTTTTTTTTAATTTAATTTATTTATTTATTTATTTTTATTTTTCGGTTTCAATTATACAATGATCGAATACCCATCCCTCCGCCAGTGCCCATTTCCCACTACCACGGATTCCAGTATCCCTCCCACCCCCCGTCCCCCCTATCCCCCCCTATCTCTGTGACAGAACATTCCCTTTTGTTCTCTCTCTCTTATCGGGTGTTGTGTTTTGCAAAAAAAGGCAATGAGTGACAATCATGTTTGGTCTATAGTCTATTTTCAGCATGCTTCTCCCATCCTGGGAGGATCCTCCCAACACCCTTTATTTGGAAAGCACCTTCCTTTTGCATGAGAGGCTCTGATGTCAGCCCCAGAGCCCACCCCCATTGATGCAGATGCCTCACTGATACCCCCCAAAGGTAGTACCAAGCACTGGCTTTATTACCAGTGTGAACTCCATAAAGGAGAAGAAAAGGTGAGAAATTCTCCCAAATACTCTCAAACTGCAGTATCCTCCACCTGATCAGATGATTGACAAAGCCTCTCATTTCTAAAAAGCTCAAATGTTCAGAAGTTAAGATAATGGAGCTTATATTTGTGCTTTTTCTGATAACTATTATTATCATCATCATCATCATCATCTGAGTGATAGCACAGCTGGAGCGATAGCACAGCAGGTAGGGTGTTTGCCTTGCACGCAGCTGACCTGAGTTCGATTCCTCTGTCCCTCTCGGAGAGCCCAGCAAGCTACCAAAAGTATCCTACCCGCACAACAGAGCCTGGCAAGCTCCTTGTGGCGTATTCGATATGCCAAAAATAGTAACAAGTCTCACAGTGGAGATGTTACTGGTGCCCGCTGGAGCAAATCTATGAACAAAGGGAGGACAGTGCTACAGTGCTATCATCATCATTATTACTTCATGATCGGGAACTTTTGACTGCTTCTGATTCCCCAATTTTTTTCTTTTTGGGGGTCACACCCGGTGATGTTCAGGGGTTACTCCTGGCTCTGCACTCAGGAATTACTCCTGGCAGTGCTGGGATGGGGTAGGGGGACCATATGGGATGCTGGGAATTGAACCCAGGTCAGCCACGTGCAAGGCAAACGCCCTACCGGCTGTCCTATCGCTCCAGTCCCCAATTATGTTTTAAATATGTTCTCAACAATCCTCAGGAGCTTCCTTGCCATTGCCACTGACCAGTATTTCTGAAAAGCCCTGAGCACAAAGTCCATTCCAGATGCCTGGGTTGTTCTTTTCAGGCCCCAAATAGGCCCTCTGGCCCCCTCTACAGGAAGTAGATACTATGTCATGATAGAAGCAACATTCAGGTGAAAAAGATTTATGCTTTGAATTATACTTTTGAGAATGTCCTTTTTTATCATCTTTTCTCAGTATCTCAAAGAAATCCATTTCCAGACGTGTAGAAAATGTCCTAGATATTTAGAAAAAGAATAGAATTGCATCCGCAGAAAACCCACTCCCATGTGGAGACTGATCCTTGATTCCTTCCACACCGATCCTTTTTATCCTTCCTATATACTAAATAAATGGTTCTCTTATGGCAGGCCAGGACTCATTCATGAGATATAGTCCTGAAGAGTAATTTTACGTATCAACCATTATCTTTGTACGTAGCTTTCAGGAGCGAATATCAAGCCATTTTTCTGAGCTAGATTCTTAGACATTGAATTTGCTTTTGCTTTTTTAATCCCGGGGAGTAACAGTGTTACTAAAACTGCAGACCATCATCGGGTTTCCCATGGTTTCAGATCTCATGGGATAATAACAGAGGGTCATTATTTGCATGACATATTGTTCTTTTTTTCAAAGACTTTTTCTTCACAACTAAAAGATATAGCCCCATGCCTTGAGTCAGGCAAATTTGAGAAGGTTCAGAGCTCTGAGCATTCTCGCCCTTTCCTTATCTCCTATCTAGCTCATCAGGGTGTACTCATGGTACACTTGCTAGGACACAGTGTCTAAGATATAATCAGGTTCCCATTACTGAGGAACATTTTCTTCCTATTTTTTTGTTTGTGCATATGTGTTTTGCAATACACTAATAGTCGCGATTTTCTAAGTTTTCTTAAAACTCTAATTTTGTTCATTTTAAACTTCAACAAAATGTGCAAGAAAATGGCAAAGTAATCCCATATACTCTTCACTAATATCTACAATTTGTTAGCATTTGTCACCCTGAGAAGCATTCATTCTGCCACTAAGCCACATTCCCAGCTCCTTGCCACACTTATTTTAGCAACCAAACATATTTTACTCTACATAAAATAAGAAGTTCAAGAAATTTAGCACTGATGGGTCACAGAGATGGTACAGAAGGTAAGGCACTTGCCATTCGTGTGGCAAACTCTGGTTCAATTCCTGACATCACATATGGTCCCCTAAGCACAGCCAAAGGTCACTCAGGAGCCTGAGCATAGAACCAGGACTAGCCATTACACGCCACTCAGAGGGAGAAGAGATGGAAAGAAGGAAAGAAAGAAGGAAGGAAGGAAGGAAGGAAGGAAGGAAGGAAGGAAGGAAGGAAGGAGGAAGGAAGGAAGGAAGGAAGGAAGGATACAATATTATCAAATAATAATATAGTACACCTACCGAGTTTGCAAATTCCCTAATAACATCTCTTATATATTTGGTTTCTAGACTAATACAGAATCTTGGGTCCCTTGCAGTATTTGATTGTCTATTTTCTTTTACTCCTTTAATCTGGGACAGTTCCTCAGCCCACCTGAATGTTTTTTTACTTTTACAATGGAAAAATGGAGAATACAGTGAGTCTTTGTCCTAAACAGCTTCCTGTTTTATCAGATAACAGTGCCTGGAACTCAAATGTTTCTCTGGAGATGATTTTCAGTTATTCAAAACCAGTGCCCTCTCTCTTTGACCTTCAAAGTTTACACCAGTTTGGGTCAGCATGCAGAACAAGATCAAACTCTCAAACTTGGCTACACTGCATGTGCCCTGGACTGTGGCAAGCACCGTCCCTCGGGGCTGAGAGGACAATCAAAACAGTGAGGTCCATAGTCAACACCTGCTGTGAGCAAGTTACTTTTGGGAAGGACGGAAATCTTCCATGCCTCATTCCCTCCAGCAATCTGGGATGAGTTGTTACTTATGATGAGAGTGCATGATATCAAAACTCAGCAAAAGCCAGAATAATAGCATTATGAGTGACAGAATGGTCTCATATTTTTTCCCATGGTGTGATTTATACTGAGTAATAAGTTTCTTATTACTCAGAAGACCTGCTCTTACTACAGATACCAGTTATACATAGGTAGTGATGGTGCTTCTGGCACAGAGATTGATCAATAAAGGAAGATTATTTATGGGAAATATTCACTGTCACTGTCACTGTCCTCCCGTTGTTCATTGATTTGCTCGAGCGGGCCCCGTAACGTCTCCTTTGGAGACTTTTGTTGTTACTGTGTTTGGCATATCGAATACATTATTTCTAAAATATCAGAAGACAAAGAAATGGAGGATTTTTTAAAAAATATATGTATGTACCTTTTCTTTCTTTTTTACTTCGGATGAATGAATTGTGAATTGGTAAGAAATATGTGAATATGTTTGCCACTCAATGCCTCTTTTGCAGACCACAACACCCAAAAGGAGAGAGAGAACACAGGGGATTGCCCTGCCACAGAGACAGGGGGGATGGGGGGATGGGGGTGGGAGGGATATTATCCATGGTGGTGGAAAATGGGCACTGGTGGAGGGATGGGTATCTGATCATTGTATAATTGAAACCAAAGCACAAAAAATTGTAAATCTACAACTGTAAAAAAAAATAATAAAATAAAATAAAGGGGAAAAATTTTTTTAAAAATTAAAAAAAAAAAGATGTGAATAAATGCTTGCAATCCTAACATCGTGAGAGGAAATTTCTTTTGAAGTCAAGCACGTTTTTATTTTCACAAAGAATGTGATTAGAACTGCTTACTTCTATGCCTTTAGAGAGGAAAAGAATGATTTTCCTGTTCGGCTGAAGTGTGAGTTTGATGCTAACCTGTCAGCAGACTATTAGGGTGAAAATCTTGTTGGGTTTTATTTCTTTCATCTCTTCCATGCACCAGAGTGTTTATTGATCTGTTGATGTCCGCTCATGCTATCCATCGTTTGGTTCGCTTTAACTTTGATTTTTCTCTGTACAGAACTGCCATCCAGGGCCATTCAAGCAAGCTGCAGTTTTGAGGAAGATCTCTGCAGCTTTTACCAGGATAAAGAAAGTCGGGGTTGGACCCGAGTGAAAGTAAAACCAAACATGTATCGCCCTGGAGACCACACTTCTGGTTTTGGTAAATCAATACTAACAGTGGAATTCAAGTTAACTGGGCTAGCAAAAGTATTTGCGAGTTAATTAAATAGTCTTTGGAAATTATTTTGCTCTGCTTTTAATTTTTTATTTATTTTTTTATTTATTTTTGCTTTTGGGGTCACACCTGGCTATGCACAGGGATTACTCCTGGCTCTGCACTCAGGAGTTACTCCTGGCGGTGCTCAGGGAACCATATGGGATGCTGGGAATCGAACCCGGGTCGGCCGCGTGCAAGGCAAATGCCCTACCCGCTGTGCTATCTCTCCAGTCCCTTGCTCTGCTTTTTAGATGAAGGAGAAACTCTAAAAAATTATGAGATTTCAATAATCTGAAAGATTCAAAATAGTTCAATCCATAAAAACAGAAAGCAGATAATAGTGGATAAGAAGGACTGGGTAGATGGGAATTGACAATTGGTGAAATACTGTTCTGGAATTAGTGGAATTTAGTATCCTCATACCATAATGAGAGGATATTAAATATTACATGGAATTCTCTTAAATGACTTTGAATGACTAAAAGAATGCAGTTGATGTTTTGTTCTTTTTCTACAGGAAAAATACATAGGGGAAAGTAAAAGTTAGATAAGCTACTAGAAAATGTTGGGTGGGCACTTAGTGGATGTACCTACAAGGGCCTCTTAGAAACTGGTTTGACTTCCTCTTGTATTGGGTTTCCTAACTTGTTAATGGGTCCTGGGGAAGCCTACTGGAACCAAGAGCAGGTTCTCAAGGGATTAGTGTCCTGCTCATTTATTCAATAGTTCTTTATTTTTTTTTAAACATTGGACTCCATGGTGAATTTACTAAAGCTGATGAATCTTAAATTTAAGGGGCTGACACTTGTCCCAGCTCTGGGAAGGACTTTGGAAAGGATCCTGAAATTTTATGCTTGTAATTTTGTGCTTTTCTATTAATATATATATATATGGTTTTTTTTTCTGCACAGAACTGCCTTCCAGTGCCATTAAAGCAAGCTGCAGTTTTGAGGAAGATCTTTGTAGTTTTTACCAGGACATATATATATAATTAAAGATTATATATAATAATAGAAATATATAATATATAATTATATAATATAATTATAAAATATATAATAATATATTTATAAATATTATATTTAATTTTATATATATATAATTTAAGATTATTTACTCTGGTCAGACTAAGTGTTGGGGTGAACATGTCAGGTGTTAATAAGAGCGTCTCTGGCCTATATTCACTGGAATGGGCAAGAGAAACCTTGAACAGGTAGACCTACCAGTGCAAGTTGTGATGAATGTGATGAAAGAAATGAAGAATGGTGGTTCAGAGAGATAGTACAGTGGGTAAGGCACTTGCTTTGCACCCAGCCCACTAGGGCTTTGATCCCACATATGTTCTTTCAAGCCCAGCAGGGTTGACTCCTGAACACAGAGCCAGAAGTTAGCTCTGAGCACTGCAGAGTGTGCCCCTACCCCCCCCCCCCAAAAAAAAGACCCAAAAACCTAGAGGACTTTAGTCAAATGAGTTAAATAATTGGGCAAAACTGAACCATACAGCAGGGACTTAAGACACCCCTAAGATAACCTATGGGGGAGAAAAGGGAGAAAAATGTCACTATTTTTTTTCCTTTTAGCTCAGGCTATCTAGGCTAAAAAAGGTCACTGTTGTTACTGTGTTTGGCATATCGAATACATCACGGGTAGCTTGCCAGGCTCTGCCGTGCGGGCGAGATACTCTTGGTAGCTTGCCGGGCTCTCTGAGGGAGGCGGAGGAATCGAACTCGGGTAGGGGTACTTGCAAGGCAAACACCCTACCACTGTGCTATCGCTCCAGCCCTACAAAGGTATGTTTCGCATTTACCATGAGAAAAGTAGAGTAAGTTGGAGGAAGTTCTCTTCATCTTATTTTTCTGTTATTTATGTCAGGGAAGAATATAGATCTTCAGCACCTGATTTTCAGGGATAAGACTACAATAGGCTTTACCCAGACACAGGAGTCCTCCCCTCCCTTTGACCCCTGTCTCCAAGGACTGTAATCAATTCCTCTGCACTGGCCACTGCAGACAGAAGGGAAAGTTTGCTGTGCGCCTTGCAGTCTCTTGACTCACATAACACTCTAGGTTAGCGGGTTGGTCCAGGCAGCTAGGAACCCCAAGACAAAGCCATCCTTTTTACTTCATGAAAAGTGTATAGACTGATTGCAGACTGGCATCTGCACACATGGAGCTAGAAAACAATGCAGGCCTATTAGATGTACTTAGAAGACGGTTTATTTGCAATAGAGTATCATAGATGAAAATCTGGTTGTATATTTGTAATTCGTTCATTGGTGACACACTGAATGCTTTGTCATGTTTACAGGCTATTACTTGCTGGCCAACACAAAGTTTACCTCTCAGTCTGGCTACATTGGAAGGCTCTATGGCCCCTCGCTGCTTGGAAACTTACCATATTGTCTACGTTTTTATTATGCCATCTACGGGTTTTTGAAAATGAGTGATGCTCTAGCAGTTTTTATTTTTGAAGAAAACCATGTGGTGCAAGAGAAGATCTGGTCTGTGCAGGAGTCCCCCAGAGGGGTTTGGCTTCACACTGAAATCACCTTTAAGAAGCCCATGCCTACCCAGGTACAGTACAGTCAAACAAGCAGCCTCTGTTCCTTTTCAGTCACTGGATTGAGCTAATGAATTTCCACTTAAATATTTTCACCTGGCGATGTGTTCTTTTCTCTGGTCTAGCTGACACCCCTAACCCCACATCCTATCCCCAGCCATGCAAAAATTTATAAATTTCAAGTCCTTTTTGCATTCTTTGTCTTTGAATCGTAACCATCGAGGGAGTTTTCTTCTTGTTGATTTCTTAGATTCCCTGAAAAGAGTCCAAAGATAGGGAACACAGATAGTTCAAGTTCAATCGCTAAGCTTCAGTTTGATACAATAGTCACAGACACACAAAGACACACAGGGGAATGTTAGTGTTGTTAAAAAGTGAAATCAGTGATCCTGGTTCTGCATCAAAGCCTTCAGGTCAAGGACCTAAGCCTCCAGCTGAACACTGGAGGGCAAGTTCAATTTCAAACAACAACAAGAACAAAAAAAAAAAAAACAAGGAGTCAACCCAGAGAGAATTCACCTAAGGCAGCCATCAGCAGCTGATCTAGGTTGCAATGACAATACATGAAGATGATTATTGCAAGGGGAGAAAATTGTAATATCCTTAACTTAAAAATTCACAATCTTAAGGTAACTTTACAGAGACAATAAAATCTGTCCTCTACCACAAGATACGAAACTAGTATGAAAAAAGCCCATTTTGTTTTGGCCTTCCAGACAATGAGAAAATATTTTCAAGTACTCTCTCTACATAAGAAAGGGACCTCAAAAAAGGAAGGAATATCCCTTTCTTCAAATAGATAATTTACACAGTGGGAGCACAAATTGTTGAAAAGCTATTGAATCAGTTAATCATGTTCAATATCTCAGAATCATTCCAGTAAGTAATTCAGACTTTTGCCTTTTAAATTTTTTGTGCTTTTTTTTAAAATAAGAAAAATACAACTAAAGGTCCAATATCTAAGATAAAATTTAAAGGGAATACTTAGAAATTTGCTGAAATGGAATAATAAATCTATATAATTCCTGGAAATTTTATAAATAGGTAGCTAATTAATAATAAGACACCCTTCTAGAAAGGAATTTAAGGAATGGGAAAAAAACACACCCCAATGTGGGGTCAGAGCAATAGTTCAGTGGATAAGGCTCTTGCCTCGCATGCAGTCAACACAGGTTGTATCCCTGGCACCTCATATGGTCCTCCGGGCACCACCAGGAGTGATTCCTGAATGCAGAAATAACCCTGAGCATTGCCAAGTGTGGCCTAAAAAGGAGAAAAAAATGTGTAGACGAAATATGTGAAAGCAGATGCAACACATTTTGTGGTGTCTAGAAACTTTATGGAAAACGCTGCACCAGGATATTAACGCCCCAACATAATTAAACCGGGCAACTGAGAGCAGAGTAGAATGAAACATTATTTATTGACAAGGTAATCAATACATTATAGAACAGATTATACTAATTTCACGCACAGAGCAAGGAAAATTAGTCAGTCATGAGGAATACATTTTAATGTGAAATTGAACAGAGAGACTACACATGTGAAAGGCTATAAACCCAAGGCACAAAACGCCCCATTCTTAATCTCTGGTGACAATCTATTAATTTATTGTACCAACACACTCACTTTCTCCTTTTTGCGTTAGGTATTTTAAAATGATTCTGAAAAGCATGGTAACAAAACATAGCAATGACCTGTAACAACCAGCTTCTTCTCCTTTTGCCTTTGTTTATCAGGTTTGGGTAGGAGGGAACCAGAATTTGGCTTTATTTTTTTGTCTTTCAGCCACAATCAACTGTGCTCAGGGCATACACTTGACTTTGTGCTCAGGAACCATACATATGCAATGCCGTGGATCAAACTTTGGTGGGTCTTATGTAAGGCAAGCACCTTACCTGTTGTACATCTCTCTGGGCCCCAAGGAGGGACCAGAATTAGAATTTTATACCGATCATGACAGAATTTCAGAAATAGTGTTTGTCAAACCAGTTGGTAAGCTTTTCTCTTCACACCAGGTGTTTCTTCACACCCCCTAATGTCCTTCTCTTCCTTGGCTGCTGAACTTAGCTCCTATTCCACACGAAAAATCAAGCCCTCCTACTTGCACATGTCCAATAATCCTGTCTATATTTGTATTCATTTGCCCACGTTTTCCTCTATTTTGGAAGTATGGTCAGAAACTAGTAAAGAATCTCAAACAATTAACAGTGAGGACTGTGTTAGAAAAAAAAAAAAAGCATTGTCAGAGGCCAGAGAGATTGTCTAATAGGTAGGGTGCTTTGCCTTGCACATGAACAACTCAGATTCGAACTTGGCACCTCATATGGTTCCCTGAGCCCTACCAGGAGTGATCCCTGAGTACAGATTCAGGAGTAAGCCATGAGGACAGCCAGTATGGGAAGGGAGAGGGAGGGGAGGGGGGAAGGAGGGAGGGGAGGAAGGGGAGGGGAGGGGAGGGGAGGGGAGGGGAGGGGAGGGGAGGGGAGGGGAAGGAAAGAGGAGGAAACATTAGGGAAGGGAAGGGAGGGGAGGGGACAGGAGAAAGAGAGAGAGGAGTAAGGAAGGAAGGAAGGAAGGGAGGGAGGGAGGGAGGGAGGGAGGAAGGAAGGAAGGAAGGAAGGAAGGAAGGAAGGAAGGAAGGAAGGAAGGAGGGAAGGGCGGGCCAGAGTGATAGTACAGTGGGGAGGTTGTTTGCCTTGCACACAGCTGACCTGGATTCAATCCCTGGCATCCCATATGGTCCCCTGAGCACCACCAGGAGTGACTTCTGAGTGCAGAGCCAGGAGTAAATGCTGAGCATCAGGAAGGGAGGAAGGGAGGATGCTGTTCAGTGGACCACTTTCACTTCTCACAGAACACTTCCCATTTGACTCTGACACTTCTGTGTGAGTGTAAATGAGTGGTGTGTGTCTGCGTGTGTGTGTCTGTATGTGTGTGAATATGTATGCGGCCCCTGCCCCACAACAAGCAATTCTCTATAAAGCCAGCTGGGAATCCTATAACTGACCTCATTTCTGACGTATTTTATTGGAGATAGTTTCAGATCCAACAGGTGAAGCTGTCCCTCAAGGCTTCCCACCCTTCTTTCTTCAGATGCTGATAGCAAGTAGGAGGTGCTCCAGGTGACATAACTACTTCGGTCTTGGTGACAATTCGGGCTCCTTCACATAAAGATTGCTAAAGTGGCTCATAGAACTCAGGGAAACACATTTACCAATTTATGAAAGCAGTTTAAAATAAGCCTTTTCCTCATTTCAAGAGCTGGTTCTGAAGTTTCTTCTGGAATTTTCCCTCTGTTTACAATGACCAAAATATCTGAAAATAACATGGGTTCTGAAACCAGTGAGTTGAGAGATCTGGGTAGTTAGCACCAAAATAGCACTGAAAAAAAAAATGTCAGCTGTCGGCCTGCTGGCTAAAAAATATGCCTTCTCCCCCAGAACAGAGAACTGCCATGAGCAGAAACACTGACGCTGAGTGAAGCTGGAAGCTACTCAATATTTGTGGCTTGTCAAGGCCAAAAACTGAATTAAATCAGATGGGTATTTTCTAAAAAGTAAAAACAAAACAGATGGGTCTTTTAAGGAAAAGAAGCGTTGGTCAGCTAAGGACTTATTTAAAAATACATGGTCATTCTACTTTTATGTGGGATTTGAGGATCAAATATAGTATTTGGAAGAGACATGCTGTTAGAATCCAGCAACTATTTCCAAAAACATGGCTAAAATTCTAAAAATGTTTAAATGGCATTCTCCTGTTTTTCTAGATTAAGTACCACTTAGCCTGATTTAGGGATTCATTGAAATTCTACCCCTCCAGACTACTGGAATTTTTATTTGCTCTATTTAATTTTTATTTTAAAATTTCAGGGCCTGAGAGATGATACACAGGCAACCCAGGGTCTGAGAAATGACACACAGGCAGCCCAGGTTCAATCCCCTGCATCCCATATGATCCTCCAAGCCCGCCAAGAATGATTCCTGAATGCAGAGCCAGGAGTACTGCCTTAGCACTGCCAGGTGTGGCCCCAAAAACAGAAGAAAATTTATTTCAACTTTCAGGTTAAATGAATGCAATTGCACTCTGTAAAATATCCTACAATTGCGTTAATTTTCTCTGGAATCAGCTCTGAAATTTTACTGACATGATTGATGACAGTAATTTTGTGAATAATTAGCCTGATAACTCTGTAGATGCCATCTTGAAATTTATCTGCACAGATGATTTTTTAAAGGATTTTAACCTCATTGGAAGAAAAGTTAAATTTAATCCAGAATCAAGCCCTCTGGTAAACCATTGTGGTTCACCGCCTCTAGCCTATTTGAGAATTTAACTAGGCTCCTGCGTTTGTGAGCAGGGGTAATTATGGTATTGCTTACATAGGACGGAAATATTTCTATATGAAGATAATAGCCCGTTTTCGGAAGCTGTCATTCACATGCCACTTGTAGGCCTAGATTCAATTGGTAAAGTAGATGGCGGATTAACCCAACAACCTGGCTAACAATGTTTTATCTAGCAGGTCATGGAAACTACTATTAAAAACGGTGAAAAAAAATTCAGCAAACATTTTGTTCTGTTTTACAAACATTTTATAGTGACACAACAAAGGCTCAGTATATTCTACAGTCCCTGAAATGCTTGATTTCCTTCCTCCCTCAGAAAAACCCTCTATGTTGTGTCGGATAGTTCTTTTCTGTTGTTTTTGTTCATTTGCGGATCACGCCTAGGGCTTATTCCTGGTTCTGTGCTCAAGAATCACTACTAGCAGGACAGGAAGGACCATATGCAGTGCATGGGGGATCAAAGCTGGGTTGGCCACATGGTAACCAAGCACCTTACCACACCTTATCCACTGTACTATCTCTCTGACCTGGAACGCTATTAAACATTTCATAAAGTTAGGACCAGCAACCCAAATTCCTTTTATAACCCAACCCAACTTAGTTTGGGAAGGTAAACTCCTCACATATCCATAGAACAGATTTTCTGGGTTAGCCCGGAACTTTCT